GAGATCATTCTCAACTCACTAAATTAGAATCCACTCTGAATTATGAAAGCACACACCCAATTGTCTACTCGTGGCACATCCAAAAATCTTTCATATCAATGTTTCTCTATAATTCTAAACTTAGGATGGGGATGGCCGCTATTTTCCCAAGTGAAGCTAGCCATCAGAAAGCTTCTGTTGGAAAAGCGTGAATCTGTTTGGATAATCTGCTGTGATGATTTATTTCTGATGAAAAAATTTGTTTTGCCATTATATATGTAATATATCAGAATAATTGTAATTTTCAAAAAAATATAATAAAAAAAACATAAACAGGTCCTGCTACAAAAAAAAAAAAAAAAAAAAAAAAAAAAATAGTAAAGAGAAAAAACTAGAGTGTAAAACTCTTTAATAAATAAAAACGTGACAAGTCATTTCATGCATATAACTATAATAACGTGGACAAAAAAAAAAAAAAAAACAGAAACCTAGAATGCCATCCATTTTTGTGACATTCATTTTTGTCTTTACAATTTAAGTTTTTGGGATAATCTCCTCTTCACAACATCTCTCCAAACATGATCAATGACTGGAATGAACTCATCCGTGCCATCAATCCAACGAAAATAATTGTAATTTTTTAGGTGTCCTGTTTCTAGGACTATAATAAAATCTCCTAATATATTTGTCTTCCACTTTCGATTGGTAATCAACGCACCATGTGCCACAGTGGCAGAATAGAACTCTCATAGTATCGATTCTCTTGAACTAATGTTTCCTATGATTATAATACAATATGGATTCAATTGACAAAAAAAAATGATATGCAACATAAACATCAAGAAAATTAAACACTTTAAGAAAATGTAGAAAGGAAACATCAAGAAAACCTTAATGTAGGATGCTACAAAGTTTTAGAAAGTATGCATCTACAAAGCCAACGTATTGCTGAAAAAAGACATCATCAGCAAGAAGTCCGTACATAATCCTACATAAATAATCTTCTCTTAACTGGATCATCTCTTGCATGTCTTCTACCTCGAGATGTGTTTCGTTTCGTATCAAAGTCCACATCTGGCAATGAATGTCTGACCCGATGTTATGATGCTTCCCTAGGTATGTATGTAGGTAAGATCTTTATCTAAGACCTTGAATTCAATATCTTCTTGGGATAGATACCTTCATATAAATTTATAGAGTACTGTAGTTGCAACAACTATTTTGACTTGTTTTTGGATGGAGTACGTTGGCATATCTCAGAGCATGATGCACTTCTTCTTTCATACACTGAATACTCTTTTGATAACGCTCTGTAATGACGAGTGTCTTTTTTGGTCTAACATCTAAACAAAGACATTTGTAATAGGTCAAAACAATCTTTCATGGATATATTTTAAAAAGAGCCAACAATCTTGTATTACTCTCAATAAAATGTTATTTCAGATTGCAATATATAAAAGTGATATGTAATTATTGATATAACAAGTAAACTAAGATATTTGTAATGACTCAAAACAATTTTTCCTAGATGTATTTTCAAAAGAACCAACACTGTTCATAATTCTCTGCATAAAATGCTTTCACGTATTTAAAAGAAAGGGAATTACAATTACTGATCAAACATCTAAATTGAAATATTTACAGTTGGTCAATACAAAATTTCATAGATTTATTTTAAAAAGAATAAACGATGCTCATAATACTATTCATAAATTGTTTTTCCAGATTGAAAAAGTAGAAAAAAAATACAATTACTGATTTAATAAGAAACTAAGATATTTGCAAAAACCTAAAATTTTTTTTTCTGGATATATCTTCAGAAGAACCAACACTACTCATAATACTCTCCATAAAATGTTTTTCCAATTTGAAGAAGATGAAAGAAAATGCATTCAGGTCAAAATAAATTTTTATGGATATATTTTAAAAAGAAACAATAGTGCTTGTAATATTCTCCATAAAATGTTTTTCTAGATTTAAAATGAGAAAAAAGAAATGCAATTAGTGATCTAACAAGTAAACTAAGATATTTGCAAGAGCTAAAAATATTTTTTTCCTAGATATATTTTAAATGAACCACACGTATCCCAATATTCTCTATAAAATGTTTTTCCAGATTGAAGAAGAGAAAGAGAAAATGCAATTACTGATCTAACAACTATATCGAGATACTTGTAACATTTCAAAACAATTTTCATGGATATATTTCCAAAACAACGAACGATGGTCTAACTGCTATCCAAAAAATGCTTTTCCTGATTGAAGAAGAGAAAATTGAAATGCAATTGCTGATCTAATATGTAAACCGAGATATTTGTGATTAAAGAAGATGATTTATATCACCAACAAGTAAATCGAGAAGCACACAAAAAACAAGAGTTATACCATCAAAACTCCAAAACCACCAAAGCAACAAAATCATCAAAGCACTGAAATCATCTGAAAAAACTAACAATTGAACCAATAAACACATAGTTAAAAGAAATAACAAATTAAATCAAACTACCATAACAGAGAGAATAAAATGAGTTATACGTATAAAGAGAGTTGAAAAGAGGCGACGAAAGCAAGCACGGTTGGAGGGGAGAAGGAGATCGGGATTTTTCCCTAATACTGCAACATATGAGTAAGGGTTGGGGGGTATAGGTGAATCAAGGCGTTTTATAATGGACATGAGAGGGAATACGATATGTCCATAGGGATAGCGATGAGATTTTGCAACCAAAACAGAGCCAAAGCCGTGGAGTGCACCAGCTCCCTGAAACGAGAAATATTTGCATACGTCTTACGTATGCAGAGTTGCGTACATATTAAGTTATTCGGGAGGTACATGTAGGTTACATTTAGATTATAGGAAGAAATTACAATGGATATAATCTAAGTGTAACCTATCTGTACCCTTCTAATAACCTAATATGTACGCAACTCTACATACGTCTTACGTATGAAAATATTTCTCAAAATAGCTTTTTCAAAATGATTAGCATCCCATATGCCACCCCAAACACAGCTTAATATTTCTCTAAAATCTCAAATTTTCTATTTGAGTGAAGGGTAGATAATTAAAATATCTATTTAAAAAAAAGTTCGATTCATGAAAGAAAGGCCTTATAATTTTTTACTTGATTTTTCATGTAAAGAGTTATTAAAATATTTGTGCATGCAAATCGTTTTTTAATACTAGCCTAAGAAGTAAATTTTTTTCTTTATCACCACAAAATTTTTATTAACCGACAAAATTTACCCATAATTATGTTTGAATTGAGACAACCATTGACAACCTACTGTTAAGCCTATTTTTACTCTATACTAAACCAAATACTTTGAGACAATCTGAATATGATGTCCGTTGTAAGCAAAAGTGCTTTATGATGTAACTTTGGGTCATGAATTGAGAGATTTTTGTATTTCGGTATAACTTTGTTCCACGAGCTCATAGATCACAGTATTTTTATCATTACAATCATGATCCAATCCAACTATTCGAGATTAGGTGTAAGTGAGTCAAGTTGATTCGTGAGCTAGCTCAAAATCGGCTTGAGAAGTGGCTTGTGAACTTAGGTAGATGAGCTAACAAGCCAAGCTCAAGCTAGTCTGACTCAACTCTTTAGCTCATGAGCCGACTCTTAAAAAATTATTGCTATAAGATATATTAAAAATATATTAAATTTAAAGATTTCATCTTTAAAGTAATAAAAGTATTTAAAAATAATAGTTTATATTTTATATTAAGCGATATCATAATTTATAATTACTCATTCTATTTGTCATTTTATTATAGCGCAACCTTAAATTAATATTATTTTCTCTCTTTTATAATAAACAAGTAAGCTAGTTCGAACTCCTAAACCCAAGCTTGAGTTCAAGCTCAAAATTGATAAAATTAATCCTACAAACTCAAGCCAAGAATAACTCAAGCTCTGACTCATTTACACAGCCCGATTGAAATGACATTCCTGAAATTATGAGAAAAAATTTAGTCTAGACGATTAATGACCGAACCCCCTTATAGAGGAGCATTTTTTTTTGTGTGGACTCCTGACGTAGCTCTACGTGAGTCGTAGGTTATTCTTGAGCTATTTTCAGATTATTTCTGAGTTATTTTCAATAATACCGAAATAACTCAGAAATAACCCGCGGCCTTTATTTTTAAGTTATTTCAAATTATTTTGATATTATTGAGAATAACTCAAAAATAACTCAGAGATAACTTCTAGGAAGGGACTGCAAAGAAAAATTTTAGGATACAGAGATACATATGTCAAACACGAGTCAAGGAAAACGACTCTTTAGAAGTCGACTTCCTAGATTCCAAATCACTGTAGAAAACAAGAGGGGCGCCATTACGCCATGACTCGAGCTTTACTTTGAACGACAGTGAGATCTCGCATGAAGTAGGGCCCCGCTAAGCTCACATTATTCGCAGGCTACCGCCATTCCCGCTTATCTGTCTCAACATCCCTCCTGCGAAGTCGGAAACCGTTTTCGCTCATTCCTTCTTCCATCTCCTGCATTTCCGCGTGTTTATCGGCCTTCAATTTACCTTGAACGATCTTTCAAGTTGATCTCTATAGCGGATAAGATTTCGTCGTGGTTGCCCTAGTTATCTGACCCATGAATGCTACGATTTGGACTGCTTGATTCTTTCATTTGTCTCCATTGCTGATTCGACTGTTTGCTTCGCAGTTTGCGATTTTAGATCTTGGTACTATGCTTTTTCTTATGGGGTTTTTTTGGTTGCTGGAGTCTATTTGTTCCTAAAAATTGAATGGGCTAATGGTTTGTCCACTCAGTTTTATTGCTAAATGTGTTTTTTTGCTAGTAATTCAGGTTTCGATTCTGTTCGGGTTTTTTTGGGATTGAATAAGGGGTCTTTGAGAATGTCATGTTTTCTTATTGATCTGGGGCGGATTTACATCAATCAATTGGGGAGTCTATGCAGCGAGGACTAGATCTATCATTTCACATTCTTGGCCTACTATTTTAGTGGAAATTAAAAACATTGCATTTGCTGCATGCTCATCCTTTCCCTCTTTTTTTTGTATTGATATTTCTAATTAAATGTGATTTGAAGTTTATTTGTTCTTAGGCTCTAACGAGTGTAGTTGAAGCGATGTGAGATTTCTCAATCATATTGGCTAAGCTAAACTAGTTAAACTGCGTTTACTCTTGAAGATAAATAGATATTCTGTTGTAGGATTCTGAACTTTTTTTTTTAATGGTCAGGAGATTAAAAATTTTTTGTCAGGAGCACTGTTGATAGAATGGAAAGTGAAGGTATAAGGACTGATGAGACAATAGTGTCCAACTTGCCTGTTTCAGAACAAGGACAACGTGAAAGCAGAGATGGCATTTCAACTGTTGAGGGAAAGTTAGGCAGCTCATTGACATTAGAGGATATCCAAAATGAGAAATTTAATTCCCAGGTAGAAGTTCACGGGGATTTATACAGTAAGGAAAATCTAAGCACAGGCTGTAATGATGAAGGAGATGGGTCAATGCACCAGCTTCATGTGTCTAATGGTTTTAATGTCCAAACAGAAGAAGAGGAAGCTTTTTCAGAAGATAAAGAAGTGGACCCTGTATTTGATGGAACAGAGCGTTTTGAAATGGAAGCAACCGGCTCTCTTAGCTTATCTCCAGAACAAGACTCAGATCTGCAGGCCTCTGCTTGGCCAGAAAAAGCTGTTGCTTTTAAAAATTTTGTCAAGGACAAGGGATCAGTTGCAGTGTCGACTGTTCTACGTCGTCTTTCTGGCAAGAAGGATGACGATTATGAGGTGCATTGTGATGTGGAAGAGGATGAAGTTGCATTTAGGGGAATTAAAGAGGAAGAAGATTCAGGCACAGAATTTAAACTAAAGGACGTTTTAATGAAGGCGGGAGACATATCCACATGGAATCCTCTCAACTATATCAAGATTGGACGAGATGCAGATATACAAAACAAGGTGGCACAAGCAGAAGAAGTCAATGATGGAAATACTGTAGAAGAGCAAGCAATGAAGGGGAGAATTATTGTATACACAAAGCTGGGGTGTCAAGAATGCAGAGGGGTTAGGTTATTTATGCGTCAGAAGAAGCTTAGATATGTTGAAATTAATATTGATATTTATCCTAACAGAAAGCTGGAGTTGGAGAAAGCTACTGGATCCTCAAATGTTCCACTAGTGTACTTCAATGAGGTTCTGATAGGTGGTTTGGATGAATTGAAGCTCTTGGAGAAATCTGGTATGCTTGATGAAAGGATTAATGCCCTTGCAAAGGATGAACCATCATCTGCAGCTCCTTTGCCACCATTGCCTGGTGAAGATGATGTCACCGGTAGTGGAAAGATTGATGAGTTGGCTACCATTGTCAGAAAGATGAAAGAGTTCATCGTCGTTAAGGATAGGTTCTACAAGATGAGAAGATTCATTAGGTGCTTTCTTGCCTCCGAAGCTGTGGATTTCCTGGCAGAGGATCAATATCTTGAAAGAGAAGATGTTAGTTGACCATCTCATATAAAATTTTATTTAAAAATCATTCAATATACTATTTTTCCATGAGAAATTCATGTCTTTCTTTATGTTCCTTACAAAATAGTTTGAAGCTTCTACCTTATAGACTAGTTTAACAACTATGATACTTGATTGTTAACTTTTGGCTTAAAAACACAGGACAAGAATATTTCATTTTTCTTTTTTTCTTCGGTATTAAGAGGTGCATATATGAAGAGACAGCCTAGAATAGATAAAAACAAACTAGACATAAGAATAAAGAATCAAAAATAGTAATTATGCGGTGAATTCAAAATTTTTATTCTCCATCTTACAGAAAGTTGAGAAAGCAAATTAAGGAATTAGTTTGGGAGAAGGTGGATTTTCCAGAACTAATCCTTTAGGAGTCAGCGCATTAGCAACAGGGAGTTATTGCCATGCAGCACGAATAAGCAGTTTTTCATCTTGGAGAGGTTCAATAGTTGGCTGGGCAGCAGGGATTTATTTGGTTTCCTTCTCGGAGAGATTCTACAACTGGTGGAGTAACTTTTTTTTTGCTGATTTATAGATTTTCAGTTGCGTGCTGCATCTTGGAGAGGTTCCATTGTCTGGTTGGTTGCCTGGAATGAATCATTAGATAGAGGAGAGAATGCCAGGCTGCCGGCCTTTCTCTTATTTTATTTGTGCTGTTTTTGAATAATTCTAGACATGAAATCATGATCTCCAATCTCCTCCACAAGCTAAGAATATACGTTGATTATTCCTATCTTGGAAGCAAGAGTGTCGAATTGAACTTGGTTGGGTGCTTTAGCAGACATATCGACAGTTTCAGGTATTATCAGAGTGATAATTTCTTATTTTTTATTTTATTTTATAAAGTGTGTATCAATCTTGATATGCTTAGTCTTATCATGGTAGATAGGGTCTTTAGCAACGCACTCTGTAGGTTGGTTGTAGCACATCATAAGCTTTGATTTTTGACGCAATCAATTAGCCATGACCGTGAATTAGCTTCAGTTGTACTTCAATAACTGCTTTCTTTCGCTTTCCCAAGTGGTTTAATTTTCACATATCAATAACCAATTGCTAGAAGTGAATCATTGATCAGTTATAGACCTCACCCAATCATTATCCGTAAAAATTTCAATGCACTATTTGTTCATTTCTTGAAAATATCTTTTTATGATGTATTTTAAAGATAGTTTAGCATGCCATATACAATATTAAAATGTTTTTCCTTATGATTATCCTCGTATTGACTGACTGCCCTAACTGGAAATTAGATTTTAGGCCTATTATAAGAGAGATGGATCAATTTCTATACCAATATTTGGTATTTTCTTTTGTCAACAAGTTCTGAATCTTTCTTAGTTTCGGCTTTGTTTGGAGGGATCTGTTGGAATGTTTGTAGGCTTACATCATAGTATGCCAGTTTCTGTTCAGAGACAGATATCCCATTGCTTAAATTTGCTATTTCTTTGTTTAAGAATTATTTTAATGAACCAAGATCCACATTTCAAATTTATTTGTCTAGAGATCATTCAACATGTTTGTCTCATCTTAATGATATGCTGTCACAATGATATCACATATGCAATTCCTGCATTAATTTTATCTTTAGTTGATGTTTTTATAAGTAAATCATGGTTGCATTATCATTGACAGTACTAATACATTATCATTGACAGTACTAATAATGACTTTGAATCACTACGGCAAATCTCTTGATCTAGGCTTTTGATGATTGTTTTATGCTATATGATAATTTTTAGAGTGTGCAAACTTGGTTTTTGTTATTAGTGGTCTCAAATTCAGAAAGTATAACTCTTTTTAACTTTTTATAAGTTTTTTATTTTAACAGATATTTTTTACTTGATGTTAGTGAAATAATCAGTTTTAATCTTTGCTACTAGGCCACAACTTGACTTCGAATCAATTTAATAAGTTTGAGTGAAAACTTTCTCAACTCATCTTGCTTTGTGTGTTCAATAATTCCATTAACTTTGAATTTCATATTGATGAACTTTTTGAATTTGATGGGTTTTTTTTTCATGGGGAAATTTTGAAAGTTTTAATGTATCATTTATTTTAAGGTCCTTAATTTCTTCATGAGCCACATTTCTCTATTTAGGTATCTTTAAGGCTTCTTGAATATTATTAGGAATTCTAATGCAAGAAAAATTCATGATAAAAACATGAAACTTAGGAGATAATTTGTCATAAGAAATATAACAACTAATTGGGTGTTTTATGCAAGCCCTTATGTTTTTACTAGAGCAATAGAAATATTTAGATTATCCTGAGTCAATTTTGCGTTTCGGAATGGTATCAGAACTTGGGTTAGGCATAAAGTTTAGTTTCACTTTGTCAATTGAAAATTTGATCATTTAGAATAGGATTTTTTTTTGTATCTTGCTCATTTTGTGATCTTTGAAGCTTTCAGGGTATTCGAAAGAGAGTGATTCATGTGTGTGGGAAGTATGTTTGGAAGGAGTGTAGATTTAGATAAGATAGGGCTGATATTATTACAATACTCATGTTCAAATAGTGAGTTGGTGTTCCCCCCTGACAATATTGGAAAAGAAAGATTTGTTTTGAAAAAAGTCACATTCGTGACAATGTAGTATTTTTCAGTAATGGCAGAATAATATTGGTACAATTGTTGGCATGGATAGAAGCCAACAATGATACATTTTATGGGTTTTCAAGTCAAAATTGCTTCTTTAATGAGGAGTATGAGAAACAATGAGAGAGGTGCCAATTATCTCGAGAGGAATGGTGAAGAGATGAGTTTGGTTTTGGGATATGTTGGGTGAAATTTTAATTTAAAATTTTTGATGGCATACAATTATTGACTGATGCAATGGTAAAGAAAGCATCTCTCTAATAATAATTTGAGACATTAGTGATCATAACTGATTGAATAACCTTTGTAAGATGTGGAACGTTGGTGATCATAGTATTTTTTTCCTATTGTCAGTTTTGAAAGTTTGAATTTAGGTTTTAAATTAAGTTTGTATTAAAGAGTGCAGTTTTAGAAAAGTAAAACTTGTTTCACATTTATCTTTTATTAGCAGAATTCAATTCATTTTGGTATGAATATCTATAAAAGTTAAAAATTACCTAGCACATGCGATACTGTTTACATGAGATAGTCCCAAAATGTCATTATGGAAGACAACAAAATGTCGTGCGGCTTTATCTGAATGACCTGGATTAGTATTTGAGTTTTTTACGAAATTGATAAGTTTCTCATTGGAATGCTTTAGAATTTGTATTGATGAATTCAGAGAGTAAAAATTTTTTAAGGTGCATGAAATCGGGATGTCAAAATTGAAAGTGCCACAATATTATTGTATTTTGTTAGAGCAAGATGCATGCCAAGCTTGTTTTAGTTTCATTTCAGGATTTTCTTTAACATTCAAAAGTGGAGGTTAATATTTTCGTTAACGTTACTTTATCCTTCTTGATACTACATCCTTGAATTCATAGAGTAGAAAAAAAAATTGTGACACGGTTCATTTCATTGATAATTTTATTGATTGATATAATAATGCAGGAAAGTTTACAAACCTAGAGACTTTAGTTAAAAGTCAGGGAGCAAGTGGCATTGATAGTCCTAATAAAAAGTATGTGAAATACTAACCTTGATTGTCTAGTTCTTCGAATAAGGATGAAGTGTGTGAAATAAAGAGACATTCTCTTTCATATAACTAGAGGCTATAGAGTCCACAATTCAAGGTTTTTAGATTTTTATTTTGGATGCTAAAGGTATTCAAAATCATATCTTTTTGAGCAATTGTATTGATGGTGATTTAAGATGCTGGCAGATTTGATTTGAGATTAATAGCTGACAAATTGGAGAAGGTTTCTTGGATACCGCGTATGTGATTGAATCTTAATTTATAGCCGGAGTGGAATCGTAGGAATAGCTGCTTGCTAAGTCCATTTATTGTTTAAACGCCATCATGGTTTAAAGCGGGCGAAGATTTTAAATAATAAGAGATTTTATGAGAAAGAGTTTGAAATATGAGATGAATTGGTAGACAAAGACGGATGTCTCTGATACCATATTGAAAAATAGAGGCGAAAAATACAACATTTTTCCCATTCCTTGGGTATTAACAAATGAGGAATATATAGAGATAATATGTATAGCCTAGGATAGGAAGAAATAAACTAGGCAAAGAAAAAAGTATGAAAAAATCAATGATTACATCCAGGATTTTTATTGTCCATCATAAGGAGAACTAAGGCATAGTTTCCAAAATTGAGATTTTTTGCCACAGTGAACTCTATGAGAAGCCCTTAATAATGGTGAGTTAATTGTTGTGCAACAGTGAATCAACAGTTTTTCATCTCGCAGAGGGAAATTATTTTGTTTCTTTCTTGGAGAGTTCCTACAGTTGGGAAGAAATTTTTGTGTTTATTTTTAAATTTCTAGTTTTATAAAGAAGCTTTCAAAAATGGCTGGGAACCAGTCCACCAAGTTGGTTGCCTAGAATATTGGCTCGTTTTAGCTTGAAATATATATATATAAATTGAAATAGAAAAGGATACATAAATGTTCTATGAGAAGAGCCCAAAAGAGGCACCTTACCATACGATACAAGTACAGTAATACTCCAACAAAAAAGATACAGATAAACTCAATAAAATGTAAAACAAATTTAAAACATGCAGAAAACAAGTGCTAGGGATGAGCCAATTTAGTCCTGCCTCTTCCTCTAGTTTTAGGAGCGGAAGCAGATAACAAACTTTGAAAAGTCGTGCCATTGTCAGGAGTCACCAAACTATCATCCATTAAGTTTTCAAGTTGGAGTGAGCCCCCAGCCTTCTTCTTCCGCCCGAGAAGTGTAAACTTGTCATTCTTTATATGAAGACTAGCTCATGTGATCCTCGATCTGATTTGACACCGCGGTAGGAGGAAAGACATTCGTTGCCACCGCGATAGGTTCTAGTGTATGTGAAGTGTGAATTGTTACCTCCGCACCTGATGCTTCCTG